AGACTGGCCATTATAGTATCTAATAGTTTACAGCTTGGCCAAATCTCACTGCCTCTTAGTGCCAGGGAGCAGGAACAGCAGGGCTGCCCCAGTAAGAGAGCAGATTGCCAAGGCAGGCCAGTGCCCTTGTGGTCAGGGTGCAATCCCCCACACCCAAGCAGGGCTGAGGTTGTGGCAGGACCTGCAGATGGTCCAGTGGTTCAGATGAGCAGGAGAGGGAGCCACCTCTCCCACAGGGCCAGGTCTGGGCCCAGGGCTGAGCCCCACCAGGGCTCCAGCCACTGTGCAGTGGGTGGGGGTCCTGGGCAAGGGTGTTCAGGGCATCACAACCTGCCTGTACCCTCAAGGCTCTTGAAACAGAGAACAGAGCACTTCCTGAATGAGAGGTTGTGTGAAGAATGGGCAAAGGTACTAGCAAGGTCACTCTTTTTATCAAGAGACAGTCCAATGGCAGCTTTTACACTTTCACTTGATTTCCATCTGAGGCTGTAGATATAGTGCTTTTGAAAATTTGACTCTAGGGTGCAAAGGGTAAAAACTGTCTCAGCTCAGCAAGTGATTGAAGCACCAGATAAAGGATGGTGGTGGTGTAGGTGGTTTCAGTGGGGGCATCACGGTTTTAATTTTTTATTTTTACCATCCACAGTTACTCGTATACCACCTACTCTTTCCTAAATGTCACTCTTGCTCAAATTCTTTCTGCCAGCTTAAGCTTTCTGAGTCTGCTTCTTTCAGTATTGTTCCCACATGAACCAGTACTTTCCCTCTGCACTCTGACACTGGTGGGCTTTTGATAGAAATGAGCAGTAGTCACCTGTTGAGTTATATGGAAATAGGATCAGATCTGAGAATGGATCTGTGTTGGCACAGGAGTCCCAACTGCTATGGGAATATATGAAAGAAAAATATCAGAAAAGGAAAAAATTAGGCAAAAAGCTTTTGTCACTGCTTTCTTTCAGGCTCAGAACATTAAAAGTGTGTTATCACTCAGGAAGAGAGCACAGCATGGAAATGTGTGGGTGAGCAGAGACCCATTGAAATAGGAGGTTCCTGGCAAGATGTAACTCTGTCGTAGTATCACATGAGGGTGGCTGGTTTGCACAACAGCCCAAACTAGGAAAATCCACTCAGTGCTGAGTCTCTACTGCTTGGCATCTCTCAAAATGTGCATGTATTTTAAATAAAACAGCTTAGCTCATTGTTTTTGATATTTTAATTATCCTTTCTCTGTATCCATATGTGAATTTTCTGTTTCTCTTGCTTATCAGTTCAACATTTTGTTTCTGTTTTCCTAGTCTTCTCATTTTCTTTATTTTCTCCAACTCTTTCCTGTGTGAATGTAATTGCTTTTTCTGTTATTTTTTTTCTACTTTCTTTCCTGGTTCTAATACTTACTCTTTTCTTCACCTCAAAAGTATTCTCTCACCCAAGTTCCCCACCTGTATTTTGCATTTTTATTTTTTCCCCTGTTTTAAGCTCCCCAACTACTATGTATCTTCTTCTGTGTTGCTTCTGGCTTGCTCTCTAAGCTATCCTTAGCATTCACTGATTTTTCACCTAACATACTGACTGATAATTTTGGACCTATTTAGACATGGCTCTCTAAAGCACAGGGAGGCTTGTAAGGCTGAACGAGCAACACCCAAATATCTCTACAAAGCGGGAGGGAGAGACAGCTGCCTATATGCTCTAGTTTCATTGGTTACCCTCTCTACTCTCTGCCAGCACTTACATAGGTTGCCTTTGGACAGAGAGAGATGAGGCTGGCAGCTGCAAAAAGCAGAGACAGTGATGAGACAGTGGCTTCAAAAAACTATAAGTCCACTTGTAGGGTACCTTGTAATAGATTAAAAATGCTGCAGCTCTTAGACACAAGGTGCTGAACTTGTATAAGACCATGCCGTTTGACTGAAGCTGGGGCGGTGGTGAGAATATTTAAAGAAACATATGAAAGAGTAATTTTTATCTGGGAGGATTGTGTAAGGTAAAGTACCAGATAGCCGTATTTCTGAATGAAGTATTTCTTTGCCAGACCAAAGGTTCTTTTGCCAATTCTTTCATGCTCTCTTTGTGCTCTTGATGCAGCTTTGTCATGGAACCCAAATGTTTCCAAGAAATATGTGCAGGTTTGGGTGCATATTTTCCTCTTTTATTCTGGTGGTTTTGTTGTAAATCGTCTCAACTCCATCAACTGCAGCTTTGAAGAATTTGATGATGGCATAGCATTATTAATCAGATAGAGTCTGGACCAGAGCCACAATGGAAACTGTACTTGGCAAGTGTGCTACTTCGGCATTGTTCCACATGATCCCAAGTGTACCAAGTCAGGGGTATTTGACCTACTTGGATTCTGTGGAAAACATCTATCAACAACACCATGGTTGCTCAAGGCGTGATGTCTTCTACAGTATCTTCTCTTTGCAAATGGGTCAGCCTGGGGGACCTCAGCACAGGACTGGATTAAGAATCCTGCCTTCAGGAAGACCAGTG